CCAAGAAGATTCAGCAACTTCTGAGTTGCTGCTCAAACTCAGCTGTATTTTCCAGTTAATCTTCATCAGTGCTTCTGTTTTCCACTGTACCTTCCAACACATTCTAATAAAAAACCCTCAGCACATAAACAACTAATCCTGAAGACTACTGAAATCTGGAACTAGAGCATTCAGGTATGTTGGGATTATTGTATTTTCACATGTGCCACTCACACCTCTGAAAGCTCTCCCCATCTGAAAGTACCAGTAATCCACAAGAAGTACCTGGATGACCTTCACACAAGAGAAGGCACAAAGGGAGTATTGCTATAATTAAAAAGCTTGGAGCAGGGAGGCAGGCTCTTGCTGACACCTCCATGAATGTGCAGCCTGTTCTGCTGCTGACTCGCACGTTGCTGATAACCCAGGGACTAGACACGTAAGTACAGTAAATGGGGAGCACTGCCAAGTTGCTCCAGTGAATTTTCTAACTGTAGTTGCATGTCCTTTCTCACTGAGCAGTCAAATTTCCCTCTATTTGCAGCCCTGGTTTATGTCTGGTTTTAATCCTGCTCCCTGTATAAGGCCACCCAGCATGGGTTTGTATGGAACAGCTTTCAATTATCCTTTACTGAACTGTAGTGGAGAGTTGGATATCTGGAGTCACTGGCACGTCATGGACCTATTGAGGACCCGTGTGGCAGGAGTCACAGGGACCAACCTTGCTCCTGCACAGGAATGTGGGATCATTCCAGTTGTCACTGTGCAGGACACAGTGATGAGTTGCCACACACTGAGCACGGCAGCCACCAGCATTTAATGCTTCCCTTTGGGAGAGCAAGACAAAGTGCCAGCCATGCTCCCTGGGGTGGACATCACCCCTCTGCTAGTGCCAGGGAGGGACTCTGGAGGGACATGGAGCTGTGGGAGCAGGTCCAGAGGAGGCCACAAAGTTGATAAAGGGACTGGAGCACCTTCCCTGTGGAGACAGGAGGGGAGAGCTGGGGCTGCTCAGCCTGGAGAGGAGAAGGTTGTGCAGAGACCTCACAGCACCTTCCAGGGTCTGCAGGGAAACTGGAGAGGGACTGTTGATCAGGAACTGCAGTGACAGGACAGGGGGAATGGCTTCCCACTGACAGAGGGCAGGGTTAGGTGGGATACTGGGAAGAAATCCTTCCCTGTGAGGGTGGGCAGGCCCTGGCACAGGTTGCCCAGAGAAGCTGTGGTTGCCTCTGGATCCCTGGAAGTGTCCAAGGCCAGGTTGGAAGGGGCTTGGAGCAACCTGGGCTGGTGGAAGGTGTCCCTGCCCATGGCAGGGGGTGGCACTGGATGTTCCTTATGGTCCCTCCCCACCCAAACCACTCTGTGATTGTGTGACACAGCCAGGGCTGTCTGTGTGTCAGCCAAGGGTCACACTGTTACTCTCCAGGAGTAACAAATTAGGGGCCACTGGTCTTCCCTTAAGAACAAACTGGCTCACTACCTATCACCGAGGGCAGAACGTTTTACTGAAGAAGGAGCAAGCCAGGGGATATTGCTGACCAAAAAAATGGGAATGCATGGAGTCATCAGGAGCCAAAACAACGTGAACAAATCCATCTGAAGATGAGACTGTGATTCTGCATGACGCATTAACCACATCTGCAGAGCCCTGCAAGTTCTCGGTGAAAAATAATCCCAACAGTGTGAATTCCTCTCCCAGGAGGGTGGCAAGGGAGGTGAAGTGATTTGCCCAGACCAAAAAGAGAGCCCATGTCAGAGCTGGGCTTAGGAAGCTGACCTGTGACTGTGGCTTTGTCTTCCTTCTGAAGAATATGGCAGTACATATTCAGCTGATGAAAAAGAGAGAAATGCAGGGCTTATTTTAAAGTAGATTTTAGAAGTGTTTGATCTACAAATAAGGCAAGCATTCTCCTACAGAAAGGCATAAAAATTTCGAAGGAATTACTTTTGGTTGAAGGAGCAAATATTACAAATCAAACAACAGTTCAGGAAGGAGTTAAAAGGAAAGTCAGAAAGTGCATCATTAGGACAACTTTTGTTTATTTTATAAATTACTGACCTAAATTTGCCAATGACATAGAAATGGGAAAGGAGGATAAAGTAAATACAGAGGAACAGAGCAAATAAATTTAAAATGATCTGGATAGATTCAGCTTAGAGACTGGATAAGTAGCTTATTCAGCTCAGTTGTACAGAAGTGTGAAGTAATAAGATTAAGAACCAAAAATAATCAAAGAGGATAGAGCCAAAAAGAAAACACAACAAATAACACAATCCCAGAAGAAAAATAGACTAAGTACTTTTCCCTGTTTTTGGGGGAGAAGATACAAGTTGCTGTGGGCAGAGACTTTGCTCCAAAATGGGTTTGATTGACGTAGTGTTTTTATTCTCATTTCAGTTCAACTCTGTGGTGGTTTATTTTTCCTCCCCACCACATTTGTGTGCCTAAAACATGGTGATCAGTGGAAACAAACAAAAATTTATGAGTTATTTGCCAACCAAAAATGTGGCAATTTTCCATTTTGCTTTAGGGAATTAAAAAAAAAAAGTTTTATTAAAATTGAGACTTGAGGAAGACAATGCTTAACCAGTTATTTTTTTAATACAAAGTTTACTTTGCCCACATTACAAAACTGAACCCATATAACCACAAGTATATTCTATTAAAGAAAAGGTATCTTTTCTCTCAAATGATCCTTTACCAAATAATTAAAGACACCATTAGCAGCCACTTTCTGTTCCAAGTCAGGTTACTACTTTTTCTTTAAGAGGTACTTTTATTGTGTTGGAGAAATTATACTGGGTATTGTCTGTCTAAAGTAGCAAAACTCCATAATTGCATTTGTTCAGAGTAATGATAACAAGATTTAAAACACAGTTGCAACACAGGAAAACTTAGTGCAAAAAGACTATTCTATTTCTTCAGCTGTCAACTGAAAGTATATTGAATTTTGCCGAGCAAATTCAAATAAAAGTATTGAGATTAAAAGTGATAAAGGAGCAACAGCAAGATCAGAATCCCTCCAAAAATTAGATTAAATCCTCTTCAGGACCATAAAAACCTCATTATCTTGACACGACTAGATCAATCATTACAAGACAATTATCTTAACAAGTTAAAGTTGCTTTGATACAGGAATTTAAGACTATTTTTTTTTCTTCTCCTTGGTACGAAAATAGGCTGTGTATGGTCCAGGCATTCCTGAGCAGAAACTGAGACAGACACACTGAGACTCTCAGGGTGACAAATAAGCCATAAAGTCTATCTGTAAACATCAATAAAGTCCTGCTTTGAGCAACAAACACTTCCATTAAATTGAACTGTGAAACAGAACAACACTAACTCTTGTCATTATATGGTTTATTTGCTGTAGGATGAACTTACTTAATGTTGGTCTTGTCTCTTCACTTCTTCCACTCCAAAGTTGCTCTTGCAGCAGAAATTGTTGCTCTTCCACTGGGGCTGCTATTGCAGAGCTCGGGGCCTTATCCTGGCAGTTGGTGCTCATCCCACACCTCTGAGCATCACTGGTGCTGTTATTGAGAAAGGAATAACTGGAGAATGGTGTGAGAATGGACCCAGAATAATCACAGCCAGAGCCCAAAAGAGGGAATCCGGACCTTTTATCCTCACTAATGACAGCAGCAGGACTGCAG